AATCAAGGCCTCTTGAAGAGTCGCCACCCTTTTTCGAACTAAATCAAATTTGAAGGTAGACCCGTCTTTGAGACCTCTAAAAAAGTCAGTATAAGCTACCTCATCCGGTAACCCTTGAATCTGTATTCTCATCAGGTTGAACCGCCTGATGTAAGAACGAAGCCCCTCCTTCTCGCCCTGCTGAATTGTTCCCAAATCAAGGGTCGTTTTCTTCGCAGGGATGTTCATGGCGAAGTTGGAGGCAAATAAGTAAGCAAGCGTCCTGAAGCTGTTTACACAACCAGTCGGCAGGTTGCCGAACCATTGCTGTGCGATTCCCTTGAGAGTCGCTGGGAAACACTTGCACCAAGTGGGATCATCCAACCCTTGAAGGTACATCAGGTTGGTGAATGCCATCAGATGGTCTTCTGGATTAGTAGTGCCGTCATAGGCGCCTACTAGTACATTTTTTACTTTGGCCGGCTGAGCGGCTTCAGTAATTTCCTTGGAGAAGGCCGACGGCTGTTCACCAAGTCTAAGCAGCCGTAGCTGCCAGTCCATAGGTTGGACGTTTTTTGCTGCAGGTCCACCAAATGGAGGTGGCTGCATAAAATACTGTTGTTGCGGCACAAATGGTAAGTTTGGTACCGCCTGGGCACTATGAAAGCCGGACTGACGGGAGGTGCCGCCTGACTGACTCTCATGGTACGACTGAGTATGCCTCATCGAGGCATTTCACAAACTGTCTTGAAAATTTGAAGTAGAAGCCGACTCTGACAATCGGTCACTCTTCTTCTGCTCTAGCAGTAGCCGAGCATCTGTGAACGTTTTCTTTGACCCGTCCGCCTGAATATGACGAACCGGTTTCCTATTTCCCGTAGGATAACGGAATTTTGTGAAATCAAGAGCAAGTGGCTCCCGCTTCTTGGATTTAGGATGAGGAGTCGCCTCTCGCCCTTGAACTGGCTTCCTCTTCAGTGAAGTGGAAGGTTTTTTGGCCGACTGCTCTTTGACTGAAGCAGGCGGCTTTTTGTTGATCAACTCTTGAATCTCTCCCTTGAAGTCCCTCATGAAGGTCATGAGTTCGTTCCTTGTGATGGGAGCAGACCCATCAGTCGGCTGTTGCCGAGCAGGCGGTGCGCCTGCTGGCTCGCTTCCTGTTTGAAGATGCTCCCGTTCCCTCCTTTCGGTATGACGGGTACGTCGGGCCCTTAGGGTCCCGTCTGGAGCTGTATGAGTTTCCACTTCAAATTCACTTTCGGTATCATGGTCCGACTGAACTTGAGGGTCGTCTAGGGGACGCCTCTCTTCAGGAGTCGGTACAGACTTGGATGCCATCTCTGAAGTACTCTCCCCACAGACGGCGCCAAATGTTTCGGGGTTTTCTGATGTCCTGCGGGAGAGTTACAATTCTGAGACTGGAACCGGACGCCTGTACCTGCAAAATAACGGAGACTCCTGAGAGCTCCGCCTCCAACGGTCAAGTTAGTACCTGATTAAGGAGTAATTAATACGGAAATTAAAGTAATAAGACCTCTCTAGGTGAGAGTGTTTAATGTTGCTAATCTGCTTTGTTAGCGAGATTAGCCGGTTATTAGTGTTCCGTAATGTTTCTGTTCTTCTCTGTTCTTGATTTCTTGATCTCCCTAATTAATGAGGATTAATTAAGTATTTATAGCCTTGAGAAGCGTGCCACTCTCTAGGTTTAGGGTAAACCTAGGGCTGACTGGGCCTCTAGACAGGATTGGGCCTTGTTGGCCGGTTTTCCCATTTGGCATGGGTGGACACGTGGCGTGTCTCAATTGGTCCGTAGAGGACGTATCTGTGATTGACACGTGGCAGGCTCCTATTGGCCTTCGTGAAGGACACGTGGCGGAACCTGGTTGGTCCACTTGTCAGACGGTGATTGGTGGATAAAAATCCCCTAATCAATAGCCAAAGAAATATGATTTCATATTGACTAAGAGTTCTAAAATATTCATTTTGGAACATGATGATTATGCAAGTAATAAAGATGATTTGACAAGTTATGACTCCAAGTGGTTTAAAACAAGGAGATCTGAAATAGATTCTAAGTCTATAAGAAATTGTATGACACTTGAATAATTTGCCTAATTGAGTAAGACTCATTGTAAGCAAAGCAGACAAGAAAGAAAATATTTTCTAAATAAAGTAAAGACTTGTTAAGGGATTCAACAAATTCATAGGATGACTATGACTACGATGAAACCTTTACATTAGTCATCTTGCAAAGATTTATTAAAGATATTTTATAAGATTTCTACCTTATAAGATTTGGTAGATGGATTTCAAAATGCTTTCTGGAAATTGTTCATGAAAGAAGATTTGTATATGATACAATCAAAATTTTGAAGATCCAATAATCCTAGGGATGCATAGCATCATGTAGTTAATGTTCTTAATTTTGTGAGTTAATCAAATTGTTTGATGTTCTCGTAAAACGAAGAAAAGGTCTTGTGTGTACAAGATGTATACTGGGAGCTATGAAGTCTTCTTGGTCTAGTATAGAGAGAAATTATTCATTTCTTGAAGGGTCAAGTGATGGCTAATGCATTTTGTATAAAAAAACTTGAAGAAGAAGTTGAGTGAATTTGGGATTCAAGACCTATATAGATAGGTCTCAAAGGATGTTTGAGCTTGGTTAAGATACTTATATCGATAAGATTCTTATAAGTTTCAACATTGGTAATCCAATTTAATTTTATTAAGTTCATTTGTTACCAGTAAATCAAAATGGACATAATTAGTATGCGTAATTTTGGTGTTGTCACTAACGCTTGCGTCATCTATCTATTTATTCCCTTCTTGTTGTAATAAGATGTTGTTTGGTTGGTTTAATTTCACGAAAGCCTTCAAAATTTCCATGAATTTCATTTTGAGCTTGTTGTTTGATTGACACAAAAAAAAAAAAAGTAAAAATGGGGGCAATGACAATTTATGGGAATTTTAACTTCCCTTAAAACTTAGGAATTAACTTACCCAACCTCCCTTGGTAAGTTACAATTCCTATGGGATTAATGGGAATTTACTTCCTACATTTTTCAACAAAACAAATTTTATGAATTCCCATGCTTTTGTGAAAAGGAATTCAATTCCGATAAATTGTAATTTCATGGGAATTTTCACTTCCCTAATGAACCAAACGACCCCTAAGTGTTACACTTACTAAATCCGGTCGTGTTTTATTAACTGTTACACTTCTTTGTTTAACCCAAAGAAAGCAACAATAAAATAGTATATATATTTTCTCTCATGGTCCCCATCAAAACCCACTACTACTTGTTTCATAATATCTTTTCTCTCATATTCATTACATTTCAATGAAATATTAACTATACCATTTTTTTGTTTACAATTTTAAATACTCCAATTACCCTACTATCTATTATTTAATTTAGGTCAATTAAACTACCTAAAACTATGTGCCCGTAAAATTGTAACACTTAAATAAACACGGAGAAATATATGAATTGAGAGAAAGAGAGACTTTTTCTGTGATAGGGTTAGGACCTTATAAGAGAGCGAATTCCAAACATATATTGTATGCCAATTAGTCATAATCTTCATAGCCCTTAAAATGGCATTTGCCCTTCTTCAATTCAAGCCTGTTGAAACACAAAAAATTAATAATCAAAAGGATAACCCACTTTTGATTTGCTCGTATGAATTCCTTTCTCCCCCATGTACGAACATAAAGAATGAAGATGGCATTGAGGATCTTGAACAATGTCTGAAGGATGGACTAGATCATGTAAGCGAGATGCTGGAAAATCTTACTATTAAAAAGAGGAACAAAACTATGATGTATAGCCACCAACTAGCAGCATTTGAGATGAGTGGGAATGTTGTCTACGACATTTGTTTCCATCCAGAGTATCCTTATCTGTGCCCATTTAAGATTTTATATATGTACGGGATATACCGGTAGTATCATAATGTGCCGGTAAAAGAGTGTCGTGCTGTTTAAAGCCCTCGCTAATCATTGAATAATTCATGTCTTTACCGGCATTAGTCTCTACCACGTGGAGAGCTGCTTCTCGGAACGTGGCATGTCCCTCCAACACGTGGAGAGTTGCTTGGTGCCGCGTAGGCACCTGCTATTTACAAGGTCGGTGTGCCAACTATCTGTATAGGTGGCACCTGCTTGGTTGTGTTCCTATAAATACCCAAGCAAATCCCCATTTTAAAGGTAGAATCTCTCTCTCTCTCTCTAAAACACTTTCTCTCTCTTCTTTCACTTTCTTCTCACAAAGGTACTGACTTTAGCATCGGAGTGGTTATTCCCGGATAACCCCCGGGCTAGCTAATCTGTATTGGCTGTGTAGGTGAGCAATTGGACGGTAAACCATTACCAGCCCTCAGACAGTAAAGGAAGCAGAATCCAGTTGGAACAATTGGCGCTAGAAGGAGGGGAAAGTAATAACTTTTATCGTCCAAAAGGACCTCTCACGGTCATGGAAGGAAGTAAGGAAACTTTAGTACCGGTGCCTGAAGTTGATAACCGGCAATATGACAACGGCAATAAAACCGTGCTATTAGAAATCATGGTCGAAGATGAAACTCATCTCCTTCACGGTAACACAATGAACAGACCCATAACACCTGACCGTAGTAGAGCATTAACCCCAGATCTCCTGGAAGGGTTTACCCCGGAGGAGCTAGAGATAACGGCCAAGGTCATGCGGGCTATGTCTAAGAAAATAAAGGAAGCCGAGTTAGCGGCAGAGGGAATGCGGGATGAGGTATCGACAAAGCCGCTGATAGTGAACTTGGAGAGTTAGTTCAATCAGGTGGGACAACAACAACCGTCAAGAAACCGGGGCCGAGAAACCATACCGATTAAGCGCCAACTCACACAACGCGCTCAGGTAGGGGATTCAGGTTCTTACCGGCACGAGGTCTCTAGTGGCTTGGAAAGGCGGGCAGTCAGGGCGATCATCAGGCCCAGAATATCTCCATTCACACAAGAGGTACTTGACCAACAAATGGAGAAAATAAAAATGCCGTCCTGTACGTATGACTGTAAGGGGGACCCAACGCGGTATGTGGCTGCGTTTGAAAGTCACATGTTGCTATATACCGACACCGATGCTATGTGGTGTAAAGTTTTCCCTACGACTCTTATCGGCTCAGCTTCGGATTGGTTCTCCAATTTAGAGCTGGGGTCAATTGACTGCTTTGAGACCCTGGTGGAGTTGTTCACGGGTCAGTACATAAGTAATAGTGCGAGACAAAGGACATCTGGCGAGCTCATGGCTATTCGGCAACGAAAGGATGAGTCGCTCAGGGATTTCATTAGACGCTTCAACAACGAGGCTAACACTATACCAAAATTGCAGCAAGAAATTGCCGTGATGGCACTGATGAATGGGCTGGATGACAACGACTTCAAAAAATATATGTCGCGGAAGTCTTTCCCAAACTTTGGGGTAGAATTTGCCAAAGCTCATGAATACATAAAGAGTGAGGAGCTGCTGAAAACGAGCCGTCAGATATCGTCGACAGAGCCCTCTAAAAGGCAAAATGATAATAGCTCGAATTCTCAGATGGGTGGGATAAACAGGGTGCTACCGCAAGGCCAGCAGAGATCCGGAAGGCCGACACGGGGATTGGGTCGTTATAGTAGTTATACGCAGTCAAACACCCCGAGAGCGGCAATATATTCAATAAACCAGAATAGAGAGGATTGGAGTCGACCGACACCGATGATAACGAAGGGCCGAGACGTGAAAAAATATTGCATGTTTCATAGATACGTTGGTCATTACACCGAAGAACGTGTTCAGTTAAAAGAGAACATTGAAGATCTCATAAGGAAAGGGCGATTATCCCAGTATCGTACCCAGGCAGGCCCTAGCCGACAACAAAATTCACAGCCTAGACAAATCGAATACCGAAAGCAGGAAGATCCATCAATGCAAGATGATATTTACAGACAGAATCATGCGAAAACATCTAGACAGGGAGGTAATCCGACAGGGCGTAAAATAACAATCGACGTTATTACGGGAGGGCCGGTATATGGAGGTTCCGTAAGCGGGGCAAAGAAGAGTTTGTAAGAATACCGGCACCTAGTGAACGCTTTGAGCGTAGAGGAACGACCTCAGCCTTCTTCCATGCTTTCGATATCTTTTTCGGAAGAGGATGCTAAGGGAGTAATTTACCCTCATGATGATCCGTTGGTGCTGATATTGCCGGCAAATGGAGCAGATATCAAGCGGGCACTCGTTGACGGCGGAAGTTCCGCAAATATCCTGTTTGCTAGGGCTTTTGATGCCATGAGGATTGGCCGAAAATACTTGACGCCAGTGTCCTATCCCGTGATAGGTTTCAACGGGTCGACGGTAAGACCTGAAGGTAGTATTGTTCTTCAGGTTTGAATGGGAGAGGGTCCGGCAGTAAGAGACGTTATGGCGGAGTTTTTGGTGATTGATGTGCCATCCGCTTACAACGCCATTGTCGGCAGGCCTCTAATTCATGACATGCAAGCTGTGGTCTCAACGTACCACTTGACGATGGTGTATGTATCCAACGCGGGAACGACAGAACGCGTACGGGGTAGTCAAACTATGGCAAGAGAGTGTTATGTATCGGCACTCAAGCAGCCAGGCCGACAGCCAACTTGCGAACAGACACCCGCCAAGCGAGAACGAATTCCCTCTACACATGATACCCGGCCGGTGACTGCGCCACGTCCTTCCCCAGGAGGCGAAACTGTAGAGATCGAATTACAGCCTGGAGTTCCTGGTAGGGTAGTGCGTGTCGGATCCGATATGGATGTCGACACGCGCTGCCATTTGGTAGAATTGTTGCGAGAAAGTGCTGACGTGTTCGCTTTCTCGGCAGACGAGATGCCTGGGATACATCCCGGCGTCATAGTACATAAGCTAAATGTCGACAGGAGGGCAAGACCTGTTCGACAGAAGAAGAGGAACTTCTCAACAGAGAAAATGGAGGCTATTCGGTCAGAGGTGAATAAGTTGCTAGCGGCAGGGTTTATCGAACCTTGCACATACCCCGAATGGTTAGCAAATGTGGTTATGGTGAGGAAGCCGTCAGGGAAATGGAGAATGTGCGTGGACTTTACAGACTTGAACAGAGCTTGCCCGAAAGATTGATATCCCTTGCCGAGGATAGATAGATTGGTAGATTCAACCTCCGGTCACGCGCTATTGAGCTTCATGGACGCTTTCTCCGGATATCATCAGGTCAGCTTATATGAGCCGGATCGAACCAAGGCGGCATTCATTACCGACTCCGGAGTTTTCTGCTACAAGGCTATGCCGTTTGGATTGAGAAATGCAGGGGCTACGTACCAGAAGCTGGTCGACAAGGTATTTGCGAACCAGAAAGGAAGAAATGTAGAGGTATATGTGGATGATTCAATTGTGAAAAGCCGTTTGGCTACAGACCACGTCGCGGATTTGAGAGAAACTTTCGAGACACTTCGGCGTTACCGGATGAAGTTAAACCCAGAGAAGTGCGTGTTCGGCGTGCGGTCAGGAAAGTTTCTCGGTTTCATGGTGAGCGAAAGGGGGATAGACGCCAACCCCGATAAGATTGAGGCGATTCTTAGTTTACCAGAACCAAAGTGCATAAAAGACATACAGAGGCTCACTGGTCGAATGACCGCGTTAACGAGATTCATCAGCAAGTCAGCTGATAAGGCCTTACCGTTCTTTGTGATCTTGCGTCAAAATAAGCTGTTTGAATGGGGGAAGGACCAATCCAAGGCGTTTTAGGCTGTGAAAAATCACTTGAAGTCCATACCCACCGTTGCAAGGCCAGAACAAGGAGAAATATTACAACTTTATATCTCCGCGTCGGCAAAGACGGTAGCGGCGGTGCTCCTGGTAGAGCGGCAAAAAACACAACTGCCAATTTATTTCGTGAGCCACGTCTTAAATGCTGCTGAGAGAAGGTACCCGTTAGTAGAAAAGATCGCGTACGCAGTAGTTGTGGCCGCACGAAAGTTGCGCCCTTATTTTGATGCACATGCAATTGATATCTTAACGAATCCGCCGTTAGAGAAATCTTTGCAGAAGATGGAAACATCTGGCCGACTGCTTAAATGGGCTATTGAACTGTCCGAGTATGTTATTGCGTATAAACCAAGAGTATCAATTAAAGCCCAGGCTTTGTCTGACTTCATTGTGGAAACGTCCTATTATGAAGAAGAGGATGCTATCGGCACATGGAAGGTATCCGTTGACGGCTCTTCTGCTTCAACCGGCTCAGGAGCTGGAGTAATTATGATCTCTCCCCAGGGAGATGTATTCGAGTATGCGTTAAGTTCAAGTTCGAAGCATCGAATAATGAGGCCGAATATGAAGCAGCGCTGGCAGGAATACAGTTGTGCATATCTGCGGATGCAAGGCGTATTGAGATGACAACTGACTCGCAATTAGTAGCAAATAAGTTCAATGGAACTTACGAGACTCGAGAGCCAAGCATGACGGCATATTTGGAAAAACTCAAGAGTGTTGCGTCTGGTTTGGAGTATTTCGAAATAAAGTTGGTTCCTCGAGCAATGAACACACAGGCAGACGCCTTGGCTAAACTCGCAAGTTCAAGCTTCAATGACTTAGAAAGGACGGTTATGGTAGAGATTTTGAAAGAAAGAAGTATTGATGAACAACCTCCTAAGGACGTATGTTGTACAACTGCGGGACGAGAATGGTATGATGATATCTTGGCTTACAAGGTACATAATGTCCTTCCTGTCGACAAGATGGAGGCAAGAAAGGTCCAGAAAGACAGTGTCTGGTTTATCATGTTTCGAGGTTTGTTGTATAAGAGGGGGTTTTTGTTACCGCTGCGAAGGTGTATAACGGCTTATGAGTCGGCAAGACTGATAGAAGAAATACACGAGGGTGATTGCGGTAATCATGCGGGGGGTCGGTCAATGTCCTTGGAAGCAATGAAACGAGGCTACTATTGGCCAACAATGAACGCAGATACCATGGAATACGCCAAAAAATGTGATAGATGCCAGAAGTACGGGCCGGTAATTAATCAACCACCCAATGATTTATCACCTATTCTTAACCCAATCCCGTTTGCTCAGTGGGAAATGGACATTATAGGGTCGTTTACATCAACAACAGGTGGCCGTAAGTTTTTGATTGTAGGGATAGACTACTTCACCAAATGGATAGAAGCAGAACCGGTAGCAAAGATTACAGCAAATGAGGTAAAAAAGTTTATCTGGAAAAGCATTTTTATGCGGTTCGGATTGCCGACAGCAATGGTGTTTGATCACGGATCACAATTTGACTGTAGCCCGGTAAAGAACTTTCTAAGCATATACAAAGTGAAGTTTGCGTATGCGGCAGTATGTCACCCGCAGTCAAATGGTCAAGCTGAGGACGCTAACAAGCAGATACTAGGGGTAGTTAAGAAAAAAGTAGAAGACGCTAAAGGCTTGTGGGCAGATCTGATACCCGAGATTTTGTGGGCGAACCGTACGACAACAAGAGAAACTACGGGGGAATCTCCTTTCAACTTCGCTTTCGGCTCAGAGGCAGTGGTTCCGGCGGAAGTGGGATTACCTTCTTTTCGGGTACAACACTTCTGCGAAAGTCAAAATGATTTGTTGCTCCGACAGCAATTGGATTTTCTACCGGAAGCAAGATTGACGGCTGCCATAAAATCTGCGGCATACAAAAACCGAATGAGCCATGCTTATAACCGGCGTGTCAACTATCGATCCATGGAAGATGGTGATCTAGTTCTACGTAGAACGGCGGCAACCGGCAAAGGGAACGCAGAAGGTAAATTTACTGCAACCTGGGAGGGGCCTTACCATATATATGAAACACTTCGGCAAGGGTCTTATCGGCTAATGACCCTTGAAGGTGTACCCCTGAAGAATGTTTGGAACGCTAGTGTATTAAAGAAATATTTCATGTGAAATGTAAATGTGTCCTATTTTACGTAGTTAAATTTTGATGACATGTTGTCATACGTATGTTCTCGGCATTTATTAGTATTGTAACCTATTTCAACACTTATAAAATATAATCGCATTACCTACTTTCGATACGATCTGATCACAGCCTAGCTAGCTGACTTGGTCGTTCAAGTGAGGGAAGAATAATAAAATAAGATAATAATGGACCTCAAGGGGAGTTGAAAGTGCGGTCTGATCCACTGCCTTTGCTCAGCCTGACAAAGGTTGGATACTTTATCTCGGTATGTTTCATATCCGATGTTCAACACAAGCATTACAGAGTTTTCCCAGAATTTGTTTACGAATAAATTCTGCCGAAAAACTCGGGGAGTATTATTGGTAAGGTGTATCTTGAAAACACCGATAACAAAGTTGAATGCATTCTTTGATTTTCCAAAATTTTGTTAATTATGGGTCGGGTGTATCTTGAAAACACCAATAACAAAGTGTAATTTTATTCGCAAAAAAAAATATACCGAGAAATGTAATTTTGAAACGCCGAAAAACGTACATTCGTGTTAAAAATCAAGGAATAACTAAAACACGATTCAAGGAAAGCAATCATTAAATATTAGTTAAAAGGTAAGTAACGGCCATAGCATAAACAAAATTCGCATGACAGTAAGGATTATGGTAAGGAAGTAAATGGACTAACTGATTAAGAATAATTGCGTTAAATACAGACAAACGCAAAATAAAGTATTTAAACGTTAAAAGAGACGGAAGTAATTGTGTGATACATAGAAACGGATACAAACAAGTATAAAAATAATAGCCCAGAGATGACTGCCCTCCTGATTAATTTTTGCCGACCTCCTTTGTTGATTCAGCCGCTTTAAGAGGCTCTTTCTCAGCTTCTTTGTTGGAGGAACCAACAGACCCATCTTTACCAGCATGAGTGGCAATAGGGCTACGGATAAGGGCGTCGTCAAACTCCACTTCCGGCAATTCGCGCGGGTCTAAATTGGTTATCACAACATGCGGGGGGAGCTCGTCAAAGTACTCACTCTCATAGCTGGTAGGAGAGTGGTTCATCTCTTTGTTAAAAGCCCTCTCGACGGCTTTCTATTTCGTCGAATCCCACCCCTCCGCTTTGCACACACAACG